AAATTTTTTTTATACTAAAACCTTAGATATTTTCCTTTTATTTGATATCATTTTTTTGAAAATCTAACACTTAACCTGCTCTTTGGGGGGGATTTAAAATAGCAACTTTTTTACAAAAACTAACTTTTTCAACTTAATTTTTGAAAATGTTTCGGAAATACTGCGTCCTTTAAACATATATCAAATTAAAGCTTATTTTATGTACTATAAAATGAAAAAAAAAATTTTTCCCGACGACCTATCTACTATGTGCAAATTGCTGTCAAAATTTAAAAAAAAATGTAATATTTGCGATAAAAATCACCTTCTATAAGGATGTTTTTTGTACTTAAAACTGCCATAACTTTTTCAAATATTAACAAATCAAAATAATATTTTTTTATATTGAAACCTTAGGTAATTTCCTTTCGTTTGATATCATTTTTTTTTGAAAATCTAACAATTATTCTGCTCATAAGGGGGATTTAAAATAGTAACTTTTTTACAAAAATTAACTTTTTCAACTTAATTTTTGAAAATGTTCTGGAAATACTGCTTCCTTTAAACATATATCAAATTAAAGCTTATTTTATGTACTATAAAATGAAAAAAAAAATTTGTCCCGAANTTCTTTAAACATATATCAAATTAAAACTTATTTTATGTACTATAAAATGAAAAAAAAAATTTGTCCCGACGACCTATCTTCTATGCGCAAATGGCTTCCGTATTCAAAAATATGCTATTTTTCTATTAAAATTCTAGGTTTTGTATTTTATTTTATTTTAAAATATCTTATTAGGAGAATATATTGACTTTCATGAATATTATATAATTTAATTGACATAGAATAAAGTTCATAAGACATAAGAAATTAAACTTATTAAATACTTTTTACTTTTTTAAAGTCGAAAAAGTAATTTTTAAATTTGAGTTATCTTAAATAGCCAATTTTTTAGCTTCGATGCGAATTGTTTATATGTAAATACTAATTTTTAATAATATTAAAACTTAGAAGTGATAGAAAAAGTCCTATTGTAGATTTGAAAACATCGCGAAAAGTTGATTTAGAATGATATATTTTTGTTACTGATGAAAGTTCCTTGTAGTTCAGTGCATTTATAGTAACAAACAGTTTTTATTGAAATTTATTGTATCAAGCCTTTTAAATTTTTATACACGTAAAAATAAAGCAAAATACAACTTCTTTATTATTTTTATAATTTCTCTGTTTAAATTACAATATTAAATTATTGAATATCAATTTCATACTAAATTTAATAATTATAATTAGTATTTATTCATATATTATATTTTAAAATCAAAGAACTACTAATTAGGATATAATCAAAGAAATAAGAGTTGATGTTGCTTTTGGAATAATCCACCAATTTCTCTAAATGAAACACTATCTACAGATTTGCATCAAA